GATGCTAGGGTAACGGATAGAATACATATACAGTACATATATAAGTATATTTATATATAAATACATATTAAACATCCATGACTGGAGTACAAATGCTCGTTTTCATCACACAAACATTTGCCCCCACCGGGATTCGAACCCGGGACCTCTCGAGTCGGCGACACCATGAAACCCGGCGTACAAACCACTCGACCACGGAGGTCGTCATTAGAAAGACGATATTTAAAAAATACAATTTCATCTAGATCTAGAAAGCTATAATAGATGGGCTAATTATCAAAGGCCTGGCGGGTCACAGTTTGATAAGTATGTATGGCTGGTTTAGGCAAATTTAATTTAGAAGAGATTGACTCTTCTAAATTAAATTTGCTGAGTCAATGAGAGGATAATCCAAAAGTATAAAAGAAAAAATAAATATTACCCACCTTTCCAATCCCAAATGAAATTAGGAAGAGAGCGGAAAAATAAATAAGATTTCAGTATCGGAATAAGTAAATTGGAAAAAAGTAATCTTCAAAAGTCAAAGTTTCTTTGCATTAAGCAATTTTCCTGAAATGTTTAGTGGAATTATTAATATTTCGTAGAGGCAGCGATGATTCGGCGAAAATCAACGAACCAATCAGCTTCGCAGTAAACGCCTTCGACATTTGAATTTACCAGGCGCTAGAAGAAGATTCGCCAGCAATTTAGCTAAAACCTTTGGAAACTTGATGACTCCCCAATTTTGTTTCGCCCTGTTGCCAACTCAACTTTTACTTGTTGCTTTGCAAAGCTTTATTGTAGGATGTAGGTACCTATTCAACTATCTTTGTTCCCCTTGTAATATGTTACTAGAGTTGATATAGGGATCGCTAAAAATAAGTTCAAACTTTTAGCGAAACAGATATTTTTCTTCATCAGTTATGGATCTATATATTATTATATAAATAAGTAAATAAGATAACCTTTTTGTGGACATTCAAATACTGTGTAATTTTTTTTCTTACTTCACTTCATTGTGTTTGAATTTTGTTTTATTCAAGCACGATGTAATTTCATTATTACTAGGTTTGTAGGTAGGTTTACAAATTCATTTTGAATGTGATCTAAAACGGAAAAAAACACAATGTAGGTTTAATATGTTTGAAATAAATTCGAAATGATAATGATAACCCTAATAATGAAATCCTTACCCTACTAATATTATATATGTGAAAGTTTGTATGTTTGTCACTCAAAGACGCAATGACTACACTACGGATTTGGATAAAATTTAGTACGAATTAAGTTTATGATCTGGATTGAGAAATAGGGTAGGTACTTTTTATCTTGAAACAATTTTAGATTCCTGAGGGATTCTTAAAAAACTAAAGTTACCGCGAACAAAGTCGCGGGTGGTCGCTAGTATACACAAGTAATTAAAAAGGAGGAGAGACACAGTTTAGAACACGTTCGGCTTGAAAACATAGAGTAAACATAGGTTTATTATCTTGAGCACAGAACACTGAAACACACTGTTGGTTCTGATTGTGTGAGCGCTGATTGGTTCGATTGTTTGATGTGGCGTCATTTGATTGGTTATTATCTATTAGATGGAAGTGTTGTGGGGGCGAGCCGGCGACATCGGTTCGCATACAAACAGTCTGTGCTCACTCTTCTAACCTCTTTCTGTGTTTTGTGATCTCGAGTTACTCCGTGTTTTAAAAGACACGCTAAGCCGATGGTCCTGGTTTTATTTGAAGCCGTCATCACCCACTAATCCATACTAGGCCCACGTGATAGGTAATTATCCATTCTTCCTATTCCATTCCTCTGGTTATTTAATACTAGTGGCCCGCCCGCGCTTCGCTTCGGTGTAGAGCTGTAGTGTAGACTATAGTTTTTGTTCTCAGGCTTGTATTATACACAATGACATTCTTCTAATAACTAATTACAATAGGCACGCGCCACCAGGCGCCCCGCCCGGTAGCGTCGGAACCGCTATGTCCCTGCATTTTAAATCTGTAATATCTTCGAAAATCATTTAAATTACACGCGTTAAATAGCCAAATTGGTCTATATTAAATGCACAATGTATTTAAGGTACTTAATTGGATAAGGAAGAATGTTATATTGCTGAAAATCGCTTCGTAAATAATCTATTATTTCTCGTAAAAAGTATAGGATATAAAATGGTTATTGTCGGTTATCCCTAAGAGATAGACAGATACCATGGCGGACTTTTTTGTAGACATTTTTAAGGTATACAATACTGTAGTACATTATTTTGATCGATCTCGTAGGGTTCAGCCAGCGTTTGCAATGTAAGCGGAAAAAACTGTGTTTATTTACGACCTTACATTAAAAACCTCTAAAATTATCAGTGTTTCCAACCGTTACACAAAAATAATCCTTATAGCATGATTCAGTATTCACGTACGACGGCGCGATGGCTTATTTCATGTATAAGTTTGGTGTTTATATACCGATTTCTATGATTCTTTTTTTATTGAATAGGTAATAATATTAACTTTTTTAAATTAGGGATGAGTGAGAGTATTATTAACGTAAGAGTAAATAAATATAATCAGAATGCTCCGAACTGCTAAGCTATCAGGAGTTACACGTGTTATTGTGAGTCAACCATAAAAGATAGACATATGCTGTTGCGGAATATTTTTTAGACAATTTTATGTAAAATATTTCCGTCATACATGATTTCTACGTAACTTTAACCATTAAGGCTGCACACGCGACGGAAGCTTAAAAAATGGAGTAACTTCTCCCGTTTTCCCAGCATTTCCCTTCACTACTCTGCTCCTATTGATTGTAGCGTGATGAAAAGTATACTATAACCTGCCCAGGAGTATGAAGAATAATTGTACCAAGTTTCGTTAAAATCCGTCGAGTAGTTTTGGTTTCTATAAGGAACATACACACAGACAGACAAAAATATTACTGATTGCATTTTTGGCATCAGTATCGATCACTAATCACCCCCTGATAGTTATTTTAAAAATATATTTCATGTACAGAATTGACCTCTCTACAGATTTATATAAGTAGTATAGATAATCAAAGCTCCATTTATAGGGAAGACCTGAAGGTCATCAGTTGATGGTGATAAATCCTCCTAAAAGCAGGAAAACAAATATTTATTATGTGGTAGTAACCTGTGATCTATTTGTTGTCTTTAGTCGGTAATCTATGGAAGAGGCGTCTAGAATCTGTAGCCGACCTCTTGTCTATCGTTCCAAGAAAAAAGGCTCTGTATTTTGTTTATTGAATTAAAGTGATTTAACTCAATTTATCAACATTTTATTGATTATATCACGACACAGAATAACCTGTAACCTGTTGCTTATCCATTTAAAAGCTGGGAATCTTACACGGTTCAGGTTAATGTTTAAACAGGCTATAGAGGGGTTCCCCGTTCGAATATTTTCAGGACAAGATACGTTACATTATTCAGACCGCGTCATAGAGGGTACACGGGGATGAACTTCACCCGAGTGTGAAATAAGTAATATCCCCAAACGGTTGGACGTTTACAGACTTCGGAATTTTTATCGTTTCAGGCTGTTTCTATGTCTTTTGTGTCGAGTATTATTATGTACTAGTGGCTCGCCCTCGTGTAGAGCTGTAATGTAGGTAGACTACAGTTATTGTTCTCAAGCTTGTATTAAACAAGGAGCTTGAGGAGCTTAATGGCGCCAGTGGTTAGCGTGTTCGGCTGCGGTCGTTGAAGTTGAGCAACTTTCGCAGTGGTCGGTCATTGTATGGATGACCAAAAATTTACTATCTCGAGCTCCTCCGTGCTTCGGAAGGCACGTTAAGCCATTGGTCCCGGTTGCATCTGCAGTCGTTAGCACCCACCAACCCGCACTGGGCTCACGTGGTGGGTCATAGCCCAATCTCCCTATTCCATCCATGGGGAAGGCCTGTGACCCAGCAGTGGGGACATTAATAGGCTGATGATGATGATGATGATGTTTGTATTATAAACAATGAATTTTTCTATTTAATTATAAACCTTAAATGCAAATTTATTTAAACTGTTAGTGAAAATTTCGTTGCGTACTTTACCGTTGACCGTTCCCGTGCGGACCCGTTGTACCGAATGCACAATTTTTATGGTTGAACGCGCAAATATCAGGAACTAATGGTCTGGTCTGAACAAATCTTTTTGTGTTAGATAGAGCATTTATTAAAGATGGCTTAAGGCTATATGACATCATGCTGCGACGAGTAGAAGCGGACCATCGATGTAAAATGTTGTAAAAACGGGTAAAAATATTCCATTTGTGAGCTTTCATTGCGTGCGCTCCGTAAATAATTAAAGTTACACAAAAATCACGTATGTCGGAATTGTTCCTCTTTAAAAGTTCTATAAAAAAGTCCGTGACGGTATGCGCCTATCTTTTAAGTTTGACTCACTATAACCACATTCCTCAAATTAACGCAGTTGAAACCGCAGTGGACCTTTAATTGTGAGATAACTGTAATAGTTAGACATATGGTATCTGGGACTTTTTTGTAGATATTGATATCCTCTACAAAACTTTAGTACATCACTCTGCTCTACTGTCAATGGCTTCCGCAGCGTACGCGATATATCCCAATTTTTTGGTATTTTTTTCACACCCTGGGTTACGTTATCGAAGTTTTCATACGAAACCGTAACTTTTTTGAAAATACTCTATAGCCTATGTTCATCAGGGATATTGTAAGATTCTAAACGTGATTTTTTTTTCAAATCGGTTCAGTAGTTTTGGAGCCTATTCAATACAAACCAACAAACAAATTATCAAATCTTTCCTCTTTATAATATTAGTATAGATAGTATAGATTGCTATCTTTAAGTATTTTGACCTTTTTCTTTTTCTTGTGTTTATTTGTTTTTAAATCAGCCATTGTATCGGCCAACCAAAAATGAGTAGTTTAGATAAATAAAAAAATATATTATTCATGACACCCGGTCTTCGTAGTTTTTAAGCAGTATAAGCAACTGATGATAATTACTTATTATTTTTATATTTCTTAGGTGGTGGCGGAATTCGACGATGTTGAGCCGGACGCGCTTTACGATGTCCTACACGACCCCGAATACCGATCCGTGTGGGACACCCACATGCTGGCCGCCGAGGACGCGGGACACATCAACGTCAACAACGACGTCGGATATTACGCAAGTCAGTATCGTACAACGAGTGAAACCGCACATTAAGCCACTAAGCGCGCCCACAAGCTGCGGTCGAGATTTGTCATATATTTTGTACTAGTTGTGCACCGCGATGTTATTAGGGATATTTTCCCGCACTAAAACGTAGCCTATGTGTTAATCCAGGGTATCAGCTAACTCCATACCATTTTTAAATCGCTGCAGCCGTTTAGACATGAAGTAGTAACAAACATACACATTCACCCACTCACAAACTTTCGCTTTTATAATATTAGTGAGATAGTATCGCTGCAAACCGAGCATTCGAGTCACAAGCTGCGGAAGTCGCCCGAGCACGCTATTTGTGGCCGAGTTTTGTCGCTCGAAACGCGCGTACTCTCGGCCACAATATTTTGAAGAATTGAATGTCAATGGTTTTGAATGCGACTAGGTTTTCTACGTCTCGTTATAATAATTAACAAATAATTTTTCATCCTCCCATATTATGTGGGACACCAAAATACTGGTTTTGTAAACAGCTGCAGTCATTATTATTGTTTAAAATAAACTGAAAATGGTATATTTGCCTTTTCCAAACTTATATTGACATCACGTCACTCAATTGTTTTGCCTTCCCGGAACTTCTCCACTAACAATTGAAATTTATGGTATGGTATTAAAGTTCAAATTGACTTAAACTTAACTTTTTACTTTAAGTATTATTACGAATCGTTTGTATGGGAGTATAGAAAAGTGTTGTTAATGGACTTTTGCAGGCATTTTTTTTATTTTTTTCTGCGTAAGAACCATCCTCGTACTTCAAGGAATATTCTAAAAAAAGATTTATCGATATCGGTTCAGCTGTTTTCGAGATTTGCGCTTAGCAACACATTCAGCGATTCATTTTTATATCATAGATTCCAGATATAACAGTTTAGAGTCAAATAATACCAAAATGTGGTTTTCCCAAAACTTCGAATATAGACTGTAAAATTTAATTTTGTAGTAAAATTTAAATTTACCAAAATTAATGTAAAAATCTAAACGATAACGCAAGATTTTCCTTTATTTTAAACGAAACGCAAAGAGGTTTTCAGTTTAATACAATTATGTTAAAAGCTTTATTTATAGGAGCAGCAGGTCGTTGTTGAGGTAATTTAGCGGTGTTTAAAGAGGACCATTAACCACCCGTTTAGGTAACTGCCTATTATTATCGATATCATTTTGTGATCTCATTGTAAGTAATTGCCTTTTATGATTTTATTTATTTTATTTTTTAAGCATTTAACTGCTAGATGTTTAAATCTAAAGAAAAGTTTACTAGAAAAAAATCCACGCGTACCAGGCAGCGGACGGGACTCGAACCCGCATCCTTCGCAATCCGGGCGAATGCACTGACCATTATGCTACCACGGCCCTATTAGCCGCGTCGAAATTTTCCTAGCCTTAAGCTGCAAGGCAGCGCCATCCCTTCGCATTGTAGGTAACCCACAATGTCAAATGAATACTTTTTCAAGTATTAAACAAGTAATTGCCTTTTGTTTTTCCGAAAAAGTACCTTCTTATTAATATGTTAACGTACTTTTTATAGGACCAATTGTCCCGTGTTGTTCAATTGTTTTCTGTTTTGTTTAACAAAAATTGGATACCGATTTCAAATGTTCAATGTGTCGTGTACCTGCCGTAAAATTACTTCATTTCGTGTACTATCGACAACTTAAAAGAATAAACCAGATGCTATATTTAACATATATCTATAAAAAATGTTTCAAGACAAAATACCGCCAGAGTTAAAAGTCTGTCCCCTGGGATATGAGCCGCACAGTGAATAGACCACTGTGGAAATATGCCGCTTTACGACGAAATGAGGGTGAAGCTCACATCTGAAAATCTAGTTCACGGGTCTGACATTGAACACGAGTAAATATAGGTAGGTACCAGTTTTGTGACGTCACATAAATGATACTCGCAACAACTTCAGTGAAGATAGGTCAGCTACTCGGTCAGTTGCTTAAGATTGCACTTCAATTAAACAACTTCATTTGTATATTTTAACGGTCGTTCAGGATTACATAAATTAAAAAGAAAAATAGTAATTACGTACTAATAGTAGGCAGATCTAAAGAAAACCTTACATTTACACTCAATAGCTATGTATGTAAAACAGTGGTTGGTAGGGCAAATATTATGCGTATTATGATAGATATGTTTTTACGAATCACTTACAAGGTAAGGCAAGGTAGTTGGCGTTTCAAACTCAAACTCATTTATTCAGTCTAGGCTGTTACAAGCTCTTGTGAAAGTCAAACGCTACGCCATCGGTTCGTAAATCTACGGCGGGAGACCTTGTACTGAGAAGAACCGGCAAGAAACTCAGCAAGGGCTATTTTTTCTCCCTGTTTTGTTTCATACAGTGTCGTCAATTGAAAGATGACATCAAAAATTGAAAACATGTGTCTTTGTCAACTTCCATCACATTAATATTATTAATTAACAAAAGTTAAGTATAGCTAGGTACTATTTTTAAATTTAGAAGTGGCGATTAAACAATTTTCAACCAAATTAGCAAAGTAAAACGACTTAGTCTATTATTAAATCTTTAACGGCATAGTAACCTTTCTTAAGGAAACATGTTTTTATATACACTTTGCTTAGTATTTTAAACTTAGTTTGCATCAGCCAGTGCTGTTGTTTTCTGATTCTTCATAATCTGAACTGTGTTCTTAAGTTATTGGGGCAGTTTAAATATTACGTAAGCACTATAGGGAGCAGGGGCGTCTTTGATTTGCTTATTTTGATGACATGGTGGGGGGTCGAAATAGTGATTACGTCAGCATCATGGATTTGGGTGTCATGAACTGAAAACTTTTAATTGGAATTGATATGCTACCAAAAATTCGAAACAAGTTTGTTTTGTTTGTAATAGTACTAAATAAGATTATAATATTTGTACCTTACTCTATGTTAAATACTGTGTCAGTAGAGTTTGTTTAAATAATATTATGTGCGTTAAAGTCCTCTATCCTAAGCCTATTCAAGTACTGCTGCTCATGAAAGCATGCTTTCATGAAGCTCATGAAATCTCATGAATCAATAAAAAAACAGAATACATTAAAGGAAAAATGCATATAGATACCAATGTTTACGTCAGCACGGGAGGGGGGGTAAGAGCTTTGCTTACTTTTGCTGACAAGAGGAAGAAAGGGGTCATCATCATCATCAGCCTATTAATGTCCCCAATGCTGGGGCACAGGCCTTCCCTATGGATGGAATAGGGAGATTGGGCCATGACCCACCACGCGGGTCCAGTGCGGATTGGCGGGTGCTAACGCTATCAGATGCAGCCGGGACCAACGGCTTAACGTGCCTTCCGAAGCACGGAGGAACTCGAGATAGATGTTTTTGGTCACCCATCCAATGACCTACCACTGCAAAAGTTGCTTAACTTCAACCATCGCAGCCGAACGCGCTAACCACCTGCGCCATCGAGCTCCTCAAAGCTATTATAAATATATATATATTTCAGTGAGGAGGGGGTTAATTATTGTAATAAATCTGCTTACGTAATACTTGAACGGATTCTTTGAGGAATTGATCTATTTAACAAATCATAAAAATGCCCATCCACTCACATTGAGCCTTTGAATTCGAATCTCGTTTACAAAGAAAACGGACCGTTACAATGAATATAGAGTAAGCTATTCGTACAATAAAGAGCGAGATAGTTTGTTGAATCTCGGTTGCTTCCCCTTTCATCGAACTGGCTTCAACTGTAAAGCAGGAAGTGAGATATAAAGTTTTGTAGAGAAGTTTTTCATGTCCAGGTATTTCCTAGATAAGCGGTTCAGTGCAGCGGTTTATCGACAGTTTCTAGATAGGTAAATATGGTATTTCCACTCATGACTGACATTCTCTCTAAAGGTTTGCAAATTATTTATCTATATATATAAAACTCAAAGGTGACTGACTGACATAGTGATCTATCAACGCACAGCCCAAACCACTGGACGGATCGGGCTGAAATTTGGCATGCAGGTAGATGTTATGACGTAGGCATCCACTAAGAAAGGATTTTGATCAATTTTACCCCCAAGGGGATAAAATAGGGAACACCAAAGCGAAGCGAGGGCGGGCCGCTAGTACACAAATAAAAACAAAACAGAATATAATCTTAAGGGACTTTTGTCTGTGGACTTTTTTTGTCCACCAAAATAGATCGCTTAAAACTGCATCGAATAACGCACACTAAGGATTAAAAGTATCGCAGACAAAAAGTCCTCGACCTAAAGTACGCCAGAGTCCACGTCAGAAGTACGCCGGATTCCATGGAAAAAATAGAACTCATGTGACTTGGCCCAGCTAATTAGGTATATATTTCAGTGAGGTAATTAAAGTTGTCTGGAAGTATAAAAATACAATACAATAATACAATGCACCGGACTTTTAGTGTTACTTTGGGGATATAATTTCGAAATTCCGCGGTAATATAATTTTTAAAGGCAAACTAACTACGGCCAGCCTGAACCGGGTAAATATAACAATTCTATTCAATGTTTTTGTCGAAGCTTAATCAGATTACATTTTCGTTCTACTCTCCCTTTTTACGAGTTTTCTTTCAAAATATTTATTAAATAACCAACTGGAACAGAAAGAAATGCAAATTACAAAGTTTTCTGTGTAAACGGAGTTCACAAAATGTATTCTAACGACATTGAAAGTTTGTATTCGTTTGGTATTGGAATACTGATGGATTTGTGTATTGAATTAGGTTTTGTGTTATCGATATTTGTTTATTTTGTGAAGTATCATCAATTTTATATTTTTTTTCTTATGACACATATCTATACTAATATTGTAAAGCTGAAGAGCTTGTTTGTTTGGTTAAACGCGCTAATCTCAGGAACTAATACTGGTTTTTTATTTTTTTATTTTTTTGAGTTGGATAGTGCAATTATCGAGAAAGGCACATCACGACACGACGAGTAGGAGCGGAGCATCGATGAAGAACGTTGTGAAAACGAGAAAAAATAT